CTTCCTTATCATGCCCTCCTGTCCCGCTCCACTATTGGCAGGGACGTACTAACCAAACTGGGCACCACCCTCCACTTTTCCTCCAGAACCTCCGCCCTTCTTCTTCTGTCTCTCTCTCCAGATTCCTCGCCCTCCACCTCTCCTGCCTTACCAAGCCCTACGTGCCCTCTCCCACCTGAAGTCATAGACCCTCGGGTTTGGGACACCTCCACCCCAGTGGTGGCCACACACCACACCCCCATCCTCATTCAACTCAAAGACCCTTCATCCTTCCCTTCCCGCCCCCAGTTCCCTGTTTCAGTGACCCACCACAGAGGTCTAAAACCCATTATAGAACGTCTTCTGCAGAAAAACTTTTAATCCCAACTAATTCTCCCTATAACACATCCATTCTCCCAATAAGGAAGCCAAACGGGTCCTACCGGCTGGTCTAGGACCTGAGGCTCATTAGCGAGGCAGTTGCCCCCATACACCCTGTGGTGCCTAATCCCTACACTTCACTTTCTCATATTCCACCCTCCGCTGCCCGCTTTTCTGTCCTGGACCTCAAAGACACCTTCTTTACCATCCCCTTAGACCCAGCCTGCTACAATCTCTTTGCCTTTACGTGGGAGGATCCTGACACAAATACATCTAGGTAACTCACTTGGACTGTCCTACCCCGGGGGTTTTGGGACAGCCCCCACCTATTTGGTCAGGCTCTGGCCCAGGACCTACTCTAATGTCCCTTACAGCCTAGCACTGTTCCCCAATACGTTGATGACCTACGGCTCTGTAGCCCCTCTTTACGGCACTCTAAGACGCACACTGCCTCTCCACTGAACTTCCTTACTTCCAAGTGCCATCGAGTGTCCCCTCCAAGGTCCAGCTGTCTGAGCCCACGGTCACTTACCTTGGGCTTCGTCTCACCCCCACGTCCCCAGATCTCACTGTTGACCGCCAACGGGCTCTTCGCGATCTCCAACCACCCACGATCGCTGAACAGATTCTGTCCTTCCTTGGATTTGTTGGTTTCTTCTGACACTGGATCCCCAACTTCTCTCTCCTTGCTAAACCCCTCTGTGAGGCAGCCTGTGATGCCTCCACTGGCCCTTTACTAAACCCTCAGGCTGCCTGCCGCGTGTTTCTGAAGCTTCGTGACACTTTCCTACAAGCACCCCCTCTAACACTCTCTCATCCTGAAAAACCCTTTTACCTTTACACGGATGAGTGCCAGGGCCTGGCCCTTGGTGTCCTCACCCAACCTTTAGGGTCCTGGAGCCCGCCCACCTGTGCTCCAGTGGCTTATTTATCCAAACAACTGGACACCACCTTGCCTTACGGCACTGGCTGTGGCAGCCACACTCTCTAGAGAGACACTAAAACTTCCCCTGGGACAGGACCTTCATGTCTTTCCTACTCATCGCCTTCAAGACCTCCTAACTCACCACTTGTTGGTGCTCCTCACTCCTTCCAGATTACAAGAATTCCATCTTCTATTTGTAAAAACATTCCACATTTACTTTGGTACAGTCTCCAACCTTAAACCCTGCTGCTTTGCTGCCATCCCACCCTAACCTGTCCTCTCACTCTTGCTCTGAGTTGGTCGAAGCCGACACAACCACCAGGCGCGGCCCAGCAGACTTGACTTTGCTCGTCCGTCCGTGGGAGACGACGGCAAGTGCCCGGCAACAGCCGTTGTCTCAGCTTCTCGGGTTACAGAGGTGTCCCGCCTACCCGATGGCACCACTTCCCAAAAGGCAGGACTGATGGCTCTTACCCGAGCCTTACATCTAGCCAAAGGCCACTTCTCCATGCCCATGCAGACAGATACCTGCCTCAGCCACCAGGACCGACTCTGATGTCTCTCACACAGATATACAGCCCGGCGACTCGGTACTTCTTAAAACTCTTCACCCTAAGCCCCTTGAGCCCCACTGGGCGGGGCCCCATACAGTGGTGTTGACAGCACCTATGGCTGTAAAGCTTCTGAACCACCTGCTGGTTCTTAGCATCACATCTATCTCTCACATCAAAAGTCCCCACCTCCTGGCCGCTCAGTGGCTCACGCCTGTAATCCTAGCACTCTGGCAGTCCGAGGCGGGCAGATTGCTCGAGGTCAGGAATTTGAAACCAGCCTGAGCGAGACCTTGTCTCTACTAAAAATAGAAAAAAATTAATTGACCAACTAAAAATACAAAATACAAAAAATTAGCCGGACATGGTGGCGCATGCCTGTAGTCCCAGCTACTCGGGAGGCTGAGGCAGCAGGATCGCTTGAGCCCAGGAGATTGAGGTTGCTGTGAGCTAGGCTGACGCCACGGCACTCACTCTAGCCTGGGCAACACAGTGAGACTCTGTCTGAAAAAAAAAAAAAAGTCCCCACCTCAAGAAGCTTCGCTGTCCTATTCCTGCCACCAGGTGGGTCCCACTAAACTCCGTCTCACACGGGTGTCTGTATCTTCTGACCCTCCCAACAGCTGCTCCTGATCCCATCTATGTCTGGAGATTTAAGGTCCGAGAGTCCCTCCCCTCGGGAGACACCCATGTGGCCGGCTCTGCTGGCTGCTCTCCCAAAGGCTGTCAAAAGGCCCTTACCATTTCCCTGTCCCTGACCTCAGTTGGTGGCTCCCAACAGCCTGTTCTATGCTTTTTATGTGACCATACTTTTGACTGTCGTCGACAAGAGCCCGAGACATATCGGGGTTGCCGTAAAACTTTATGCTGATTCCGTGAGGCTGAAAAAAAGGGGAAAAAAGATGGCAGGGTTACAATAAAAAGACATTCAGATAAAGGCTTAACACTTTCTATTTCAATAAAAATAAACTTCAGTTAAATATCCTCGACCAGTGCTAAAAAGTTAAAGTCACAGGCAAATTATACTAGAATAAGTTAAGCTATTACCCTTCAGAGACTATTCACATCAGCCATAAATATGTCCTGGCCCACCAGACTCGGATTCAAATATCTACCAATATTCTTCAGGCAGAACAAACTCTAGCCGGACAGCTTCCTCCCCGCCCTCGACACTCTCTTCTCTCCTCCTGGCTAGATATCATTCAACATACCCTTGCCTTCCTAAATTCCTCTGAAATAATCCCTAATATTTCCCACTGTTTCCTCTGCGCCTCCCTTCAGCGATCCCTGCTGGCTGCTGTCCCTCTAAACCAGGGGTCCTCAAACTTTTTAAACAGGGGGCCAGTTCACTGTCCCTCAGACAGCTGGAGGGCCGGACTATAGTTTAAAAAAAACTATGAATAAATTCCTATGCACACTGCACATATCTTATTTTGAAGTAAAAAAACAAACGGGCAAAAACACCCACATGTGTCCCACGGGCTGTACTTTGAGGATGTCTGCTCTAAGCTATTCTAATCCCCAAATGACTCCCCCCATCGGCTCCCTCATGCTCCACTCCGCTCACTCGCATTCCCCTTTGGGAACCCAAGCCTCCACGCCAACCCTATGCAGATCGCGTGTGCTTTCTCACCTCCCACACTGACCCCCGCCTACTACTTCATGGACACCGCCTACCAACCATACTGTGACCACAACCACCCCCTCTGCTCCGGGACAGTTCTTCTGGTGCAACAGAACACTCACCCGCTGCGTCAATACGTCCACCCTGGTCTTGTTTCCCTGTCATGGTGGTCCCTCAATTAACTCTACACGATGAGTCTGAATTCCGGTGGCTTCTCCTAGGGCCCCGGCCAAGACGAGCCATCTTTTTGCCCGTCACAATGGGTCTCAGCTTGGCCTCTTCCATTGCGGCCTCAGGGCTCGCGGGAAGTGCCCTGGGCCACGGTGTCATTTCTGCCCAAGATTTTGCAGATCGCCTACAAATCGCCCTAGAAACCACTTCTGCCTCGCTGGCCTCACTACAAAGACAACTAACTTCACAGGCTCAGGTTACGCTCCAAAATCGAAGAGCGTTAGATCTGCTGACAGCTGAAAAAGAAGGGACCTGCTTTTTCCTTCATAAAAAATACTACTGCTATGTCAACAAATCAGGCCTTGTAGAACAGAACATCGACAAACTCGCCACCACCAGAACCTTCCCCCCTTCGGCTGGATACAGTCCCCTTTAACCACCTGGCTATTCCCACTAATAGGACCCACTGCCATCATGCACCTAATCTTTCTCTTTGCCCCATCTTGTACAGTTCCTCCAGCACCGCCTACAGAAGCTGACTTGAGTGGCAGTAAACCAACTACTTCATCCATACTCCCCCCTTCCAGTCACACTTTCACCAACCGACTCCAGTCTGTAACCCCTAACTGCGTCCCCCTCCCAACAGGAAATAGTCAGAAAAAGAGGCTCTCATCGTAACCAAAAGGCCAGAATGTAAGGCTGGGGGGGGCCCTCCCCTCCTCCTGGAATCTGCAAATACCGCCTGCCCCTCCCATTTCTCAAGAACAGACAAAGGCCACAGTGGAAAATCCCCAGCTCTTCCCGCCAAAAGTCCTCAGCCCGCCTCAGACAGCATAAAAGCCCTCACCCCTTTCAAACAGGCAAGACTTCTCTGGCCCCCTCTCTCAGAACCCGTGAACCTCGCCCAGGAGTGCTCAAATAAAGGCTTGTTGCTTGCCCCTTTCCACTTTGCTCGTCTTTCTTTCTCTGGCGCCGACCACCCAGAAAACCTTACGGTGCACAGCCCAGCACCTGGAGCAGGACGTGTGGCTTCCGCAGGAGGGTCGCTCCCCGGCTGCACCTGGGCACACGCTACTTGCACACGGCCTAGAAGCGCCAGTCCCAGGACGAAGGCCCCACTTCCTTGCTCGGGCATTGGCGGGTCTGAGCCTGGAGCTCTTCAAAGGGCAGAGCCCGGGCCACGGGGCTGTCGCCTGGAGACCTGCGATTCACAGCATTCTTGATTTTGGGTGGCTTTGTTTTGCCGTCTATTCTAAGAGACTGTCCTGTGCAGGAAGTAAGGGACAAATGCACCTCGTCCCCACGGTGGGCCTGGGCCGGAGGGCCACGGCCCCATCCTCAGAGCAGCCGTTTCCTTCCTCCCTGACAGACGGCAACAGCCTGTTCGACTCCATGGCCAGCGGCATGCGTCTGGTGGTCAGCTGTGTCTCCTCCTTCCTCATCCTGTCGCTGCTGCTCTTCATGGTCCACCGGCTGCGCCAGAGGCGCCGGGAGCGCATCGAGTCCCTGATCGGGGCCAACCGTGAGTGTCCTCCGCGGGCCCCACCCGGGGCCAGGGCCCCGGCCCGCCCTCAGCTGTGGCCCCTCACGGCAGAGCTGCCCTGGCAGGAGGGGTGGGCCTTCTCCCGATCGCGGGGCGTCCCTTCCCACCCCCACGCCTCTGCGCCTGGCAGCAGGAAGGCCAGCACGGCGCATTCAGACAGGACGGCGCCTTCTGTGGTGGCCGGGGCCCTGGCGTGGGCCCCTGCTAGGGAGGAGCAGCGGCGCAGGTGCCACTGGGCGGCTTGGGGCGTGGGCCCCCCTCCTCAGGAGTGCACCAAGCCCAGCCGAAGGCCCTCCACAGTGCCCGCGCCCATTGTCACCCCGTCCCCACGAGCTCCTCTCCCAGCACAGGAGGCAGGTGGGGAAGCTCGCGGCTGTATGGGGCCCAGGGCCTCCCGGGCTTGGAGGCCACATGTCGCTCGGGTTCTGGTTCCTCGCCCGCGGGCCAGGAGCCGAGGACCTGCCGTTCTCCCTGAGCCGTGGCAGGCAGAGCCCAGGCTCCAGCCGCGGGAGGGTGTGGGCAGCCCTGCGGCCTGGCCCCACAGAAGCGTCAGGACAGAGGCTCGGGCTGCATGTGGGTGAGGGTGGAAGGCCCCGGCTGTGTCGGGGGTCCCGTGGGCTGACAGGTGGGCTGCTGGGCACAGCATGTGGCCCTCAGGGACCAACGCCTCGGAACGGGGGCTCAGGGGCCAGGTGGCCACCTCCCAGTGACACTGCCCTGTCTTGTCCCCGCCTTTGGCGGCCAGTGCACCACTTCAACCTCGGCCGCAGGATCCCAGGCTTCGATTACGGCCCAGACGGGTTTGGCACGGGCCTCACCCCACTGCATCTTTCTGATGACGGAGAGGGTGGGACCTTCCACTTCCACGACCCGCCGCCTCCCTACACAGCTTACAAGTACCCGGACATCGACCAGCCCGATGACCCCCCACCGCCCTACGAGGCCTCCGTCGACCCGGACGGCGTGTTCTACGACCCTGCAGGTGCCTGCCCCGGGAGGGACGCCTGGCTGTCAAGCAGTCTGGCACGCGAGGCCGCGCCCAGCTGCCCTCTGGAGCTGGGGACCCACTTCTTTCTGGCCTTCTCTTTGGTTTCCCCTATAAGGCTTTTCCCGGGGTTGGCCCTGCTGGAGTCCTGGACCCGCTTTCCTCCTCTGTCCCCGTGTGAGGGCCTGCCAGCCGCAGGCCCCTCAGGGCCAGTCTGAGGCGGGCTGTGGAGCCAGGCCCGGTGGTCGCGAGTACAGTCGTGACCCAGACCCAGGGCTGACCCCTTGGGCGTGTGGACACGTGTGGACACATGTGCTGCAGAGGCACCACGGTGACAGTCCCCCACCATGACTGGAGGCAGCTCTGTGAGGTGGGAGGAAAGCACAGGTCCCTGTCACCCATCTGGCACCGGGAATCAGTCCCCACAGGGCTGCGTAGCTGAGAGTCAGGCGTCCCTGCCTCCATCGCCCGGCCTGGCCCTGAGCAAGGCCGCGGCTCCCCTCCCGTCGCCTGGGCGCCGAGCCTTCTGGCGCGCCGTGGTGCAGTTGAGGCAGTGTCTCCGAGGTGCCGGCTCCTCGCTCGTCACCTGCCTCCGTGGGACGGGCGACGTGAGGCCAGGGCTGCTGTGCTGACAGGTCTTAGTCCCGTGTGTCCATCTGGTCGGCGCCGCACCTCCCGTGTGGTCTGGGTGTGCAGGAAAGACGTGGGTGTGCCCCCAGCCCTGTGACACACATTGTCGGTCTTCCCTCGAGGGGCCGGGGCAGGACAAGCCCCTGCAAGGGCTGCTGCTGGTGGCAGCCAGGCCGCCACCGCCACGGGCCGGGCAGCAGGGCAGGGCCGGGCAGCAGGGCAGGGCCGGGACTGCAGCACCGGGCCGGGGAGGATGGCGGTGCTCAGGCCGCTGCCGTCCGTTCGCAGAGACACGCGTGGTCACGAGGAGCATGCCGGATCGACCTCCCGTGGGCCAGAGCTCCCCTCAGATGCCTGGTGCCAGGGCTCCTGCTGGGACGCTGCCGCCTGTGCCCGGGCTGCCGCGTGCTAGCAGCGACATTGAGTGTCCTCACCCACCTGGACCCAGTAGCGCCTGACCCCAGGTGCTCCACCTGCCCCCCGGCTCAGCCCGCTGAGTCTGCCGTGGTTTCCCTCTGGTGCCCTGAGTTCTGGGGGCTCTGTCAGTGCGCACCCCGCACCTGGCACGCACCGCCGCCGGCCACGGGAGCAGTGTGCACCGCAGCCCGTGCGGGGGGGGGGGGGCTCCTTTCACATGTGAGGTCCAGGGGAGCCGCCTGGGGTGTTCAAGCGGGGGGCTTTCCTCCAGTCCTGCCCTGCCCCCAACGCCAGGCCTGTGCCCGCCTCTGACGCCCTCTGTCTCCCCTGCAGACGACGATGCTTTTGAGCCCCCGGAGACCGGCCTGGCGACCCCAGGGGGTGGTGGCAGTGAAGCTTCCTTGCCCCGGTGCCTGGAACAGCCTCTGCCCACGCCGGGGGCCTCTCTGGCAGACCTGGAAGACCCCTCCGACAGCAGCAGCGCCCTGCTCGTGCCTCCCGAGCCCGCCCAGAGTGGGAGCGCCCTGGCTGCAGAGGCGCCACCTGGCTCCGGCCGCCTCAGCCGAGGCTCCCTCAGCACCATGGTGTAGACGGCCCGGCCGCGTCCGTCAGGCTGTGAGCGCGTCTGCTGTCACACACCAGTCCCTGTGGGAAACTGGGGGAACTCAGCCTCAGCCCGGCCCCACCCACTGCAGCCCACCGGCCGCCAGGCACACTCGCGCACAGACCTCAGGCTGGGAGGAGCGCCGCAACGTGCCGAGGGTTCCCCAGACGCTCGGAGCCGGGGCCACCTTCTCCTCCTTTTCAAGAGGCGGAAGACTGACCGAGTTTGTTCAGACCACGTGCTTTAGAGCCAGGGAAGGAGGCCCTGTGGGCCGTGGCCGGACTTTGGGGCCAGGGCTGCCTCGCTGGCCTCACTGGGACGGCAGCGCCCACTGTCCGGGTGGCGCAGCCGCGGGTCTGCTTCAGGGCAGACAGGCTGTGAGCGCCGGGGCGACCCTGCCCTGGGCTGGGGCCGGCCTGGCCTGGCTCCTGAGAAGGGAGCGTGGAAGGAGGTTGACCCCTTGGCTCTGCCTTGGCACCTGGGCCCCGCGAAGCTCTGCTCCGTGGCAGGAGGCCTGACACCCCACACAGTCCCCCGCAGGGCCATGCGTGGCCCCCGAGTCAGGCTGAGGCCCTGGACGCCAGGGGTGCTGGGGACCGAGCCAGCTCCTGTCCACACTTCGGAGCTCTGGGCCTCGCCCTGTTGAATGGTCCTTGGCCTGGCCTGCTCCTCCCCGCCTCCTCTGTGCCATAATGGGCCCCTTCTGTGGGGGATGGGTGGCTGAACCAACACCCTGGGCTGTGTCCGTCCCCGAAAGTCACTCCCTGCACCACCGACACCGCCGAGCCAGTGGCCGCACGTGCCCCGGCCCTCAGCAGCGCCGTGTGCTGGGGCCTTTTGCCCGAGGGACCCTGTTCCCCGCTCCTGGGCCCGTCTGGTGCCCTGACACAGGGCTTGGGCATTTCTGAGGTTTGGAGATGAGGCGGGTTCTGTGCGGTTTTTAGCACATCCATATCTTTTCTACGTTGAATGTCTGGATCCGTCGTGTGTGAGTGTGTGTGTGTACGTGTTTGCAGGCCACGGGGGTGCGCGGGAACTTGGGTCTCCCGGGCCACCGTGTCTGCCCTGCCCTCCCCCTGCTCATGTCTCTCGCGAGGTCTTTACGGCCACGAGGGCCGCCGAGGAGAGGCCCGGCGGGAGGGTGCGCCGCCGTGCGGTGGCGGCAGGCTCTGTGCAGGCTCGGGCCAGCCCGGCCGCCCCGTGTGGAATGAGACTCCAGAGCTGCCCACGGACTTGACCTTGTGCTAGAGCTTTGAGTTTCGTCTGGGAACCGCCGGTCCCTGGAGGCCGCGTGCGTTGAGGCCTGCTCCCCCGGTCAAGGGGCTGCTGCTTCCTTGGGCGTTGGGTCCGGCCCCGCCCCCCTGGCTGCCAAGGACAACGCACGAAGCGCGTCCTGCCCCGGCCAGGCCAGGTTGCAGAGCAGCGGCCACGAGGGATGCTGGGGCCACGAGGGCCGACCAGCAGGTGTCCCGAGGGGCTTCAGGACCTGTGACCGGTGAGTGCGGCTGGCACAAGAGGTGTGGGGCTGGGAAGCTGCCTTTGGGGACCGAAGGACTACTGGGGCCAGTCAAGCATGACTGAGGTCCCAGAGTGGACCCTGGAGGCTGCTGACCGTGGGCTCGCTCCGGACTCTCGGGCTGGGCCCAAGGGTGCACTCGAGTTGCCAGGGGGGCCCTCCCCTCGTCAGGCCCCCCCACAAGCTCAGCCCCGTGGTGGCCCGGGGCTGGGCAGAAGGCCTGTGTGCAGAGCTGGGGTCTGCCCGTCTGTCCCATGCTGTCACCCAGAGTGCCGCCCTTTGCAAGACCTGCCAGTCTGGGCCCGGCTGGGAAGAGCCCTGAGGTGGCCTTGGATGAGGCTGGAGCTCCTGGGAGAGGTGCCCTGCTCTCCGGGCCCTGCAGGGACAGGCCATGCTCCTGGGAGGGCCGCCTCCCCGGCACTGCCTTGCCGGTGTTCTGAGACCAGGTGCCTCTGACCTGCCTTGAAAAGTGGAATTTGATACTGTACATTGTCTCAATGCCTGTTTTTTATGTTTTCCTTTCACTAAGGGTTTTTAGTTTGGGTTTAATTTCTAGTTGGGTTGGGACTAATTCTTTTCTTAAGATGCTGTGAGAACCATTTCATCCAAATGCCAAATAAACTTGCATTCTGGAAGAGGTGTGATCAGTCTTTGGTGTGACCCACCGCCCCAGAGCTGCCACAGGCTGCACCTGCCTCTCAGCAGGACCCCGAAAGTTTGCAGCCCTGCAGGCATCCAGGGCCCTGAGCCCCCGGGGTCTGAGGGCCAGGCCGGGAGAGCAACAGGCCCTGCGCCCCCAGCGAGTGTTGCTGACCTGCACGGGGTCCACACAGTCCTCTGCTTCGCCAGGCCACCGCCCTGACCATCCGGGAGGCAGCGTGGGGTGGGGTGGGGTGGCAGGCGAGGGCTTAGAACTTGCCCCCCCATCTCCTCCTCTAAGCCCCCTCCACCCAAGTGGCTGTAAGCAGCACCTCCCTGCAGTCCCAGCCACCTGGTGTCCCAGCACGGCCTGGCCCTCCTGGGCTGTGAGATGGGGAGGGGCTGAGGCCCGTCCTGCAGGCCTTAGGAGTCTGCCTTCTGTAGACCGGGCGGAACGACACCTTGATTCCTAGTGCGTCCCGAGGGTCTGTGGCAAGGCCTGAGCTGGGCGGCCTGTCCAGCTCTGCTATTGGGAAGGCTCAGTGGAGTTGGGGCTGTGGCAGGCCAGGGTGACAGGTGACAAGTGGACCATCTGCAGAAGCCAGGGGCCAGCACAGGGGCTCCTAGACCCTTCTGTTCCCTGACAGTGGTCCTTTCGATAAATGTCCCCCCTCATAAAGCAGGAACTAGAGGCCACCCAGGCGACCCAACCCCGTGGGAAGGGGGCCTCTGCTGCTCTCCTTACCCAGCCTTTCCCTCCTGGCAGGGGAAGGCTCCAGGTGAGGCAGGGGCTGGGGAGGGGTTAAGAAAGGAACAGGTAAGTGCCTGGATAGGAGCTTCCAGGGGGTGACCCCTCATCCCCAGCATGTCTGCTGCAGCAGGGGCGGGGTGAGCGGGCGGTCCTGGGCGCCAGGTCACCGGCAGCTCCGGACAGTGCCCCTCACCCCTTTCCTCTGGGTAGCGGCCGCCCCTTTCCCCAAAGTGGGAAGAGCCCGGACCTTCTGGCAATTGGAAAGAAGCTCAGGGTGCAGACGTGTCCCCTCGCCCCTCCCGCAGGGAGCCACTTGGGCCCTGGATGTGCAGGGGCGAGGTAGGAAGGAGGCTGTGGTCCTGGGTGGGAGTGGGGGTCCCGGGCCCGCAGCAGGCGAAGGACGCCCCCTTAGCCCCCTCGCATCTCCGCCACCCACGTCAAGGGTGCTGGGGTCCAAGGTACCTCACCCTTTGAACTTTCCTTGCTGGTGGCTTTGGCGTGTCACCCCTGGTCCCCAGCCTGTTTCCTCGGCTGTAAGTGGGAGTGATAACAGGACAACCTCTCCTCGGGACCGATGCCAGTGGCTGTTGCTGGCGTGCAGCGGGCTCAGCGCAGGCGCTGGGGGGTCTGGAGTGCTCTCCCTCCCTAGGGGCACTGCCAGCGCTGGCCCCTGGCCCCTGGAGAGCCCACAGGACCTAGCCATGCCCCCAGTCCACCCTGCTGGTGGACATGGAGCAGCCTGGCCAGCAGCCTGCTCTGTGGCCTCCGGCCGCTTGCCAGCCCTTCCCAGCCGTGGCTGCTGCTGCGCCCCACGGGCCCCTGGCATCGTGCTCCCTTTCCGGCAGCAGCTGGTGCTCACGGACTCGGCCCATCTGGTCTTGAATCTTCCCTCTCTTCCCACTCGCTGCCACCCCTTAGCTCCTGCCCCTGGGGAGGGAGATACTGGAGAGCGGGCTCTGTGCTGGCCCCCACCCTCCGGCCAAAGCCTTGCTCCCCATTCTTGGCCCTGGGCTGGGCTGGGGCTTGGAGAGGGCCCAGATGCCCCGTCTCTCACTCCATCCCCTGCCCACTGTCTGCAGGTGCCCGGCATTACGAGTCCCAGGATCCAAGGTGTGGCGAGGACAGGGGTTGTGCAGGCTGTACAGGGCCACCAGAGCATGTGCCAGTGGTGCAGTGGTGGCCGAGGGGCAGTCTGCACGCCATGCTCTGTAGTTTCTGCAGGTTCCCATCTGTAGTCCAGTGGCCGGACACCAGGCAGCGTGCATGTGACTGTCCCTCTGTGTGTGTCTGGGCCTGCTGGGTCCAGCGTCTGTGAGCATGTGCACGGCATGGTGGAGGTCCCAGTGTGGATGTGCGGCCATGTGCTAGGAGACCTTCCTGCCCCATCTTGCTGGGGGCAGAATGCCTGCCGGCTAAGTGGCTGGGTCAGGTGCAGGGCTGAAGGGAAGAGGAACGTTGTAACCTGTCAAGGTGTTTAGGGGGAGCAGGGAGCAATTTTCCGAGGCTGGGCTACTTTCTGGGCATGCAGGGGCCAGCCTCCTCTGTGCACCCCAGGCTGCTTCCCTAACCCCCCTCCACAGAGTCCAGGCCTTATTCCCACAGGCCCCACCCACTGGAAGGAGCCCCTGCCTGTGGGGGCCCAGCCCAGCCCCCCATCAATGTCGACCTCCACCTGGGCCAGTGGGACACCCCCTCGGGCCATCATCTTCCATGGCTACGACTGGGCCCCTCCAGGCCTGCGGACCCTGGAGCATGATGGCCATACGGGCCAGCACTAGTGGTCGGTTCCCCACGGCCAGCGGCAGGGAGCCCACACGGGTGGGAGCGTCCACACGTACACAGGGGTCAGAACCCCCCAAAGAAGCTGAGACACCATGCAGGGGTCCAGAATCCCTGATAAGGGTCGGAAACCTCCACAAATATGTCATCAGGCCGGGCACAGTGGCTCACGCCTGTAATCCTAGCACTCTGGGAGCTCTGAGGCGGGCAGACTGCTTGAGGTCAGTAGTTTGAGACCAGCCTGAGCAAGAGCGAGACCCCGTCTCTACTATAAATAGAAAGAAATTAATTGGCCAACTAATATATATAGAAAAAAATTAGCCAGGCATGCTAGCGCATACCTGTAGTCCCAGCTACTTGGGAGGCTGAGGCAGAAGGATAGCTTGAGCCCAGGA